TATTTTGCATTTATTATAAGGTAGTTTTAATCTTATTATGTTAGTTAGCTAAGTATTTTCTTTAAGCTTTCAAAACCCGAGTTGAAACCAGTTGCTGGAGATGCATTTTAATTCCATTTTTATTTTTTCATTTTCTTAATTTATGTTAAGTCCTAGTTTTTAAGTGTACTGTTTATGTATAGAACTATTTTATGAACTACCTTTTTATTAACATATATAGATTAAATCTATAAATTGTCATGGTAATATATATTTCTATAATTAAATAGGATGAACTCAAGCATATCTAAAAGTCAGTCTTTAAAGGAATAAATAATAAAGATTTCGCAGAGACTGTTGGAACATATTATTTCTTTTAATTAAAGTAAACCCCCGAATGTATCTTTTACTTTACCCTTCCCGAATTTAGGACTCTCCCAGGCGTCTATGATTTCACTGTTGACTTGCCGGCATCTGGTGGATGTGGTCCGAGGTCAAACAAAAAGTAAAGGCTGCTGGAAGGGTATGGCATCGGGAATTCAATCGACTGCTGGCCCACACGAAAGTGTGCATTGTTTGTAGCAAACTGACCAAACGAATCCAGCGGCTGGACTTTCTATAGTGCAAATATGGGATAGAGGGTAGAGGATAGAGGACTCTCAGGACACAGGCGTATCGTATCTGTGCAACCCCCACACTCGGATACAAAATACAAAAATACAAAAATACATTCACAGGCCGAGGCACACGCTGTTGTCAACTTCCTTTTTTCGGTCTCTCCATAACGGATGCTGGACATTATCGATGGAGTGGAATGGGATTGGGAATGGGAATGGGAATGGAACTCAGGATGGTATTGGGTGTATTGGGAAGCCAGAGTCCGCTTGCATATATTTTTAACCTTTTGTTGTGTTTCGTTAACTAAAGTGCCATCAGGGGCAGATGTTTTTTCCATCCCAGTCGGAGTTTTTCTCCTACATCTCCTCTTTTTGCTATCCATTTACATGTGGAGTGGACACGATGGACGCATTCTGTTTGCCGAACTGTAAAAATTGTTTTGTTACTTTCGCTGTTTGCCGTCGCGAGTTTCCTTAGTTATCCGCTTTGTTTATTTCCCTTTCGGGACGGTGGGTCCTTCATGGATCTCCATTCGGTTTATCTATCTATACATTACACCCCACCACCATCAACATCATCATTATCTTATAGGTTTCCTTTGTATGACTTTAATTTTCTACAGTTTTGCATATTCATCAACTGATTCGCTACAATTAGTTTTGGTTTTTGCCTTTGAATTACATTCGGAATTTTGTGGTTGAGTGGAATGGTTGTCGGCTACGATGATTAACTATCATGCTGGGCATACATAATGGAAGTTGAATGGGTATTTAAGTTTGGGGTTGAATCAAGTTTTAAATGTAAATTCTTTTGAAATAGATTCCTGAATGTAGCATGGTATTTTGTCGTAGTTTGCTTATTTCTAATGTTATTTAAGATAAATGTTTTAATAATAGAAGATAATAAACTAAAAAATATTTTAAAATGGTTAAGTAATGATTGAAAATAAGTCAAACTCTTAAATTGAATCATGATGCAACTAAATAAATTTTATGGCTTGGTAAAATTTTTGAAAATATTCTTTATTAAATTGAATTAATGTTTACCTGCCTGCTTTAAGTAATCCATCTAGGTCTAAATGTTGATCTGTGTTTTAAGAATATCTGTTGGCTGGGCAACCCTCATAACTTGGCCGACTGCCAAAACTCAGATGGTCAGCACATCCTTAGCGCTTGTTAGCGGCGGCATTGGCCACTTAAGGATTCGCTACACCCACCTCGATCTCGCAGGACGGACGCTGGTCAGCTGTTGGACGAGGCGAAGGGATACCTTCTCTCCTTCTGGGCTCGATTCCAGGGAAAAACTGTTTACAGAAATAAAATATCGGTGGTTCAACAAATCCTTAAGGTGGCTCGCACATGACGTCACGCTTGAGACGTCGAAAGGATCGCCGCTCGTAATTAACCCACACACAGATGCTGGCGAGGTCCCTTGATCCGGGTCCTTTTGCCGATCCTGCCCCTGCCAATTTTCATAATTAAAATGCGTAAAGTTGTGGAAAAAAGGAATTCTCCGTTGATCTTTGGATGTGGGCGCCGGCTTTTACTGATGCAATCAACAGCTCATCGCAGGATGGCAGGGGTGGATTGCTAATCATCGAGTCCTGCATGAGGCCACTGGCACCCCGGGCGCGTTTTAATCAACTATACACCCACAACTTGTTTCCCCCTAAGTAATACAATTTTTGGGTGAGTGAAAACCCTTGTAAACCCCTTTCCCCTTTCACTATTTGCTATTTTGGTTTTCTGTTATTTTTAGTGCCAACACAGCTAAAAATGGCCACCGAATTGTGCACCGTTGTGAACCAAGCCGTTTCCAAAACTCAATCCGTAACCCACACCAAATCCGGAATACAACCCCATCCCAAAATGGCGAAGTCGTGGTGGTGGTTAAACATAAATACCCTATTTATGGCGTTGCTCAGCCCTGTGGGAGATATGTACGTATGCCCAAGCCGTTATTATTCATAAATACACCGAGGGGAACAATCTTCTAAATATGTTAGATGTTTATAATGTATAAAAAATTTTTGTCTAGGTTTCTTATAAAGTAAGATTTAAAATAAAATTGGCTTTTTATTGTGTAACTTTAAAGAATTCCTAACAATTTCAATGATAAATTCTCCAATCAGCTAACTCATGAATACTTATTTATAAATATCCTAACTATTTTTGTAATTTTTAAATCACTTAGTAATAGTTTTAATTTAATTTTTGATATCAAAAATGTGTAATAAAAAAAAACTTCTGAATCGAAATGCATTCTTAAATGGTCGTGCCATTTTTTCCAAGTGCAATTATATTATTCTCTAGACTTTGGATAGGTTGATAATTGCTGATTGAGACGGGGCATTGGTAAAAGCCCAAATTATGTATTGTGAAAGTGTGCCATACGCGTGTCCTGCTGATCAATCAGAGTTGGGGGAGTCAAAGGTGAGTCAATAACTGGGAAAGGAGCAGAGCAAAAACAGCTGCTTCGAAGACACAAGAGGAGACCCTAACAGGACCAAAATTACACCTTTCAAATGGTCAGCAGACGGGCAATTGAACTATTTGAAGAACTCCCACGTTACAAAGTGGCCAGGACTGTTTTTTTGTCTATTCCGCAAACAATGGCCGGCAGCAGGAAGAAAAAAGATGCTACAAAGCCACAAGCTGAGATAAGAGCTAAGTAACAAAACCAGAAACTAGGGATCGTTAGCTCAGATGAGGACAATGAGGCTGGGACTCCGATGATAAACATCTTTTGCTTGCGGCGGCCACAAGCCAAGAGTTCATCCGGTACAAAGGCCAAATTGCCAACTTAACTTCGCTCAAATGAGCAAGGACCTTTAGATATTGGCTCTGGCTTTAATCTAAAGGGATATGCAAAATCTAATTTGCGATAAGATCAGGGGCTTTAAACCATCATCTTGGGCCTCCGCTCACCCTTGACTTCTATCCAAATTAATTTCACCCATAAATTACAATTATTGGAAAAATTTTAATGAGGAAAAACGGCATTTAAACAAAATTTACATGGAAATAATCTAAAGGGAAGTGCATTCTGTGATCATATATATATTCAACCACCAATCAGAAGCAGCCCGGAGAAAACTATATTTATGAGAATGAGTTTCCACTCAAGACGTAACAACCAAGGGAATTTTCCTCCAAGCACGCGCCATTTGGCTGAAGTGCGTTCGACGCATGCGCGCCAACCCCAAACATTCCGAAGATCGATCCCCGATTCCTGATCCCCGATTCCCGACCTCCGATCCCCGATCACCGAAGGAGACGCCTTGCTGCGTCATCTTTCTGCCACTCCCCCGACATCTCCAACGCGTGCTCATGAGTTTTTCATTATTATATAATTCCCCTCTCATATGCAATGCGAATTGTGCGTTTTCACGCAAAACGTCAATAATCCATCAAAATTCTACGCATAGAAATATGAAAAAGGGAGGGAGAACTTCCAATTTGTTTGGTTGCGCCCGCACACAAATTTTGTTGTATACTTTTCCTTTTCATTTAACAACTTGGGTATTTAGCACATGATGGAGCAGTTCTTCACTTGAAAAGAAGAATCATCTATTTATTTTTTTTTTTTAATTTTTTCAGTACCTTTTTTGGTGTGGGTGATCGGTTTCGATATATCATTTGTTAAAGATCGCGTGTTGACAGTATTGGTCTAGTGGTCATCGGACATATGGTTGGGTCTGGGCGATGAGGAATTATGCTAGGGTTATATGTTGAATGTTTCAAGAGGTTAAACATACAACGATCCTCAGAATAGTTTAATGGTTAGAAGAGTTTATAAGCAATATATTTAATTTGTTTTTGATTTTCAGCAGCGTTTATTTAAATTAAAGTGAGAACAAATATCTTATGATCTTGATGTGCCATTTATTTGTGCTGTGCAAAAGTAATATAGAGACACTTCTATTCCAAGGCAGTACTAATGTCCCTAATACATTTAGATATGGTGTTGAAAACCACCTTTTTTTTGTAAAAATATTTTCCTAACTATATATTTGAACTAAAATAAATATTCACGATTTCCCAAAATCGACTTTAAATTAACCAGACCAGATGATAAACACATAGACTTAATAATTTCTTAACTTTTATTATGTTATTGCATAAAAACATTTCGTGGGCAAACCTTAGGCTACTTTAATTTACTTAAAAGGATTTATTTAAGGATTACACTGGGCGCACGTCAAAAGTCTAGAATTTTGTTTCATGACTTCGGCTTAGATTATAGGGGTAAATACTAATTTTGATCCGTTGCTCAGATTGCGGGCAGAGCTGCTCTTAAAAAATCTCTAAATTTGTACTTCTTCTTTCGTCAGTTTCAGTTGCATCGAAAATATTGTCATTAGTGCCAAAGAGTTTGAAAAATAAAATGAAAAACTTGTAAAATTATATTGAATAAATTGTATTTATTTGATTTGATTTCGTTCGATTCGTTTTCGCTTCGATTTTTAACTAACAAATTACTAAGAGAATATCAGAGAAAGAATTGAGCATTATGTGTATACATAGTTAAAATAAGACTAAATACTCATATATGTATGTATATGTTATAAACTATATTTTATTAATTTGACTTTGGACTGTTGGTTTTGTTAGCTTGTTTCGCTTGACTCAACTTACAAATTAGTTTTAACTTAGGCTTACGTTTCTCCATGCATTGATGATAATTTTTAAACCGTTTTCAGGGTTTTTAGTCGATTTCGAAAATACAAGAGAGTATAGGGAGACAGATAGAAAGGTGGCTACATTTCGATACAGTTAGGATAGATATATAAACTTAGTTCTAGAATTAGCGGCTTAATTGGCTTATGTACAATTCTCGACAACAAAATAATTATTGGAAAACTTAGGCTACGAATATTTACAATTCTGGACAACGATTAAGGTGATAATAGTGATAAATAATAACAATGGGACTTAGGAGTGAGCATTTCTGGCCATGTGGACGAAGAGGCCGACGGGTCCGTCGCACTTTTCGCCGCACATGTTGCACTTGAACACGTCGTCGCAGCTGTGGTAGCCCATATGGATGGTGTAGAGCACGGCGTCCTTGAAGAAGATATCACAGTACTTGCACTCGTAGATCGCCCCCGCCGCCGCTGGAGTTCCGGATTGGGGAGGAGCAGGTCCTGCTGAGGTGGTTGCATTGCTGCTGCTGTTTCCATTGCTGTTGCTGCTGGCATTGGAGCTGTTCCCCGAGCTGGATGCCGTGGAGCTGGCACTGGTATTGGCCTGTGGCACATGGGCCGTCTCCATGGACTCGTCCGCTGAGCTCGTTCCGGAGCAATGCTCCTCGGGCATGGGTTTGCGTCCGGCAATGGGTGAGGATGCAGTGGGCATGTTGCTGCTGGGTACCTTCAGTTGCTCGGGGGAAGTCATGGCCTCCGATCGGAGTTGCAACAGGGTGTCCAGCTTGAGGACACGTCCCTTGCGCCTTGAGGCGGTCGAGCTGCTCATCAGCGGCGTAGCCTCGTCCTCCACCTTGAGATTCATGGCCAGCGGTTGCTGCTGCTGGTGCTGTTGCGGCTGCTCCTCCTCCTTCACCGGTGTTCCTTGGGAGAGATCCATGGCGGAGTCCACCGACTTGCGCTCGTACTCATCATCCTGCTCCTCCTCCTCGTTGTCGCTTTGCTGCTGGTTCTGCTGCTGCAGTTGCTCCCGCATTCGCGGCGACAATTGGGCCAAAACAGCAGCCTGTTGCTGAGCGGCCAGCATCTGGAGATTGAGATTCCAGTAGGGGAAGAAGGCCATGTTACGGTTTTGCTGCAGCAGGCTGGCTAGAGGAGGCAGAAGATTCGCTGGACTGGGCAAGCTAGGCGTCTGATCTACGCTGGCCACACTCTTGGCAGGAGAAGCAGGCAGCGGCAGAACAGGAGATGCCTGAGTGGGTGCCGAGTTGCTTTGGACCAGTGGGAATCCTTGCAGGGCTGCACTCAGCTGGGATGTGGCAGGCTGAATGGGTTGAGATTGTTGCTGCTGGGGTGCCACAGCTGCCACATTGGACTTCCGACTGCCGCTACCACTTCCGCCACCGGCAATGGGTCCACCATTCTTGCTCTTCGGACCACGACGCGTGCCATAGACATCGATGACCAGCGAGGGATTTGGGGTGCCATCCTCGTCCAAAACCATGCCGGGCTTGTGGCCATACTTGCGGAGATGCAGCTTGAAGCTGTGGCAATACTTGGTGGCATAATCACAGTCCGCACAACGATACTGATACACGGAACTGTGCGATTTGCGATGCGAATTCAACATGGACTTGTTGACGCAGGTATAGCTGCATTTGTCGCACTGGAAGGGCTTTTGGTTCTTGTGCTTCCGGATGTGGTACTCCAAGTGGTGCTTGAACTCGGTGACAAACGGGCACTTGGGGCACTGCAGGATCTTGTCTGGTTTCATGTGGGTGCGGGTGTGGGCCCAAAAGTCAACCTTGGTGATGGCCACCACGCCGCAAGTCTTGCACTTGTAGTTCTTCATCTTGCCGTGCGAATTGTAAATGGGCATGCGGATGTTGGTATCATCGTCCTCGGACTCGGCCATGTATTTCATGTCCTCGCTGGAGTTGGACATCTGATCGTGCTCCTTCTCCGGCTCCAGATTCGATTGACTCGACTTGGCCGGCGATTTCGGTGGTGTGACATCCATGGGCGGTGTTAGAGCCTGCAATTTCTCGCTGGTTCCATTAGGAACTGCCACGGGGGCAACTGTGGATGCGGATGTTGGTGTGGGCTGTGGACTGGGTCGCAGGTTTCCGCCATAGAAATGCTGCATAGGATTGGGCAGACCCGGTGGCGTCAATGGATTAAAGCCACCCATCAGGTGATGATGATGATGGTGCTGCTGCTGAGCGGCCTGGAAATGCTGCTGGTATTGCTGCTGCTGCAGCAACTGTTGCTGCAAGCTGGCATCGTAGTGTTGCAGGCTGTTTTGATCGTTTTGGCTGGGTGAGGGGGTCATGGCGCAAAGGGTATCCATGGGTTGCTGCTGGTGCTGTTGCTGTTTGAGGAACTGCTCCAGGTGATTGGTGGAGGGTATCGGCGACTGGCGAGGACTGCTGGTCACGCTATTCCCATCGAGATGGTGACCCGGCTCCTGTTTAATGTTGGCCGCAAACATGCTGCTGTACCAGGCGTTATGCTGCTCGTAGTTGGTCGTGGTTGTCGTCTCCCAGTTCTGCATCTTGGCGGCTCTAGACGGCTGTAATGAGGAAAAACAGAGAGAGTGGGGTTAGTGGGGCTATACAATCAGTGCGCCTGCGTCGAGTTTTTTCTCTTTTTTGCTTTTTTCGCTTGTTTTTCATTTGATTTTTCGTTTTTTTTTTTGTGTGAGCGGCACCACCCCTAAACAATATGCCAAGGGTGGCTGGCCACCCACCCCTTGAACGGGATTTGAGTGATTTCCAAACAAAATGGAGAAACTGGGTAATATGGATAAAATATCGTACCGTTTCGTGGCCGCTTTTTGTGTGATTGTATCAAAGTATATTCCAAATTTTTCGGGATTTTCGTAAAGGATTTGCAATAATGCTGTTTCTGCTGCTGCTGCTCGTGTGTGTTGTCGCTGTGCTAACAGATTCGTGACTGACTGAGCAATTGCAACAGGCATTGGCTTATATATGACTCAGGTAGACGGGCGCACGCGTCAAGGGATTAGATGGGAAGTCAGGTACAGGTCGCGGATCGGGGATCACGGATCAAGGATCGCGGATTGCGCGCTTGATCCATTCTGGATTAGAGCAGAAATTGGTGCGAAAACAAAAATTACGCGCACTTGGATTTGGATGATCCGGGAGCTTAGCGGATAGCCAGCTTAGCAGCGAACTGCGAATTTTCCCTGCGTTTTCTATGTGGATTAAGTTGGGCTCTCGACAGCCGGAGTAGGCAACAAAGAAGGCAGTTCAACGCTTAATAATAAAAAGCAAAAAGGATTGCTGGATTTAACTAAATTAACGGATCAGAGACACCTGCTGGGATTGTCTGTGGGCCAAACAAATGTGCGGGCTGACTAATCTATATGCATTCCTTAATTACCGCATTATTTTAATATATTGCTTTATTTATAAATTTCAATGTGGATAGAAAATATATTTGCAAGGCACAAACGATTTGGAAACTCTTTATTTCATTCGTATTTTTTGCCATTTGGGAAATTGTACTACTTAATTGAACAAAACTTATTTCAGATTCCAAGGTTAATTAAAAATCTTTTAATACGAATTTTTTGCATTTTGAAAATTCCAATGAAATTGGTAATTTGGTTGGTACATAACACATTTTTCCACTTTACTTTTTATATAATTCCCCTGCTTTTTCCAATCACCATCTCAGTATTTTCGAAACAAAAACGTTTTCCTGGCTACAATTTTCTTCTAGACATTTCACTTTGATTTGCGTAGTTCTACAAATAATTCCCGCATTAAATTTTTTTGTTCAGCTGCATTTGCCTACTTTTTCCAATTTTTCAATTTTCCAATTTCACGCTGAAAAACTATGCAGCTTCTGCATTTTTGGGTAATTGTTTGTGCTTTTAAGTAAATATTATTAAAAACGCAAAATCGAGAGGAGTGGCGACGGGCGTGTGGTATATTATTATGGGTTGGGATTGCTCTATCTGGCAGCTAAAATATCTACAATACTTAGGCATAATTGATGGTTCAGGAAACAGCAAATGCACACAAAAAGAAGCTTAGCATATTTATTTAATTTCGCTTTTGTGCATATTTTTAAAGAAAAGCCAAAATTAACTGCTGTGTGTGGTGTGTGTGTGTCTATGAAAGGAACAAAGAGAATTTTTGCCTTTCGTCTGGGCTTTTTTGTGCCATGCCCAACAACAGCAACAAAGCCAAACTAAAGGCCAAGTGTAAAATTAATATTACGCCGGGGCAGGGGTGTTGGGAAAGGGGGTGATGGGAGGGTTGGTAGGGGGGTGGCCACAACGAGTGCAGCCAGGCAACCGAAACTGCAAAAGTAAACTAAACATGTGCTAGTCGTTTTTGGTCCCCCCTCCCCAACACCCCCTTTTTACCCCTCTAAAAATATCATGAAAATGGCAAAAATGGAAAAATTCGCAAACGCAGAAAATGCGCCACAAAAAATGTTTTTGTTGAAAAATCCGTACAAAAAGCGAGTCAAGAGAAGGATATGCCAGAAAATATACACATATATCTATAGTATATATGCAACCGATTGTTGTTGGCTTAGAGCAACTTGTTGTTGTGCCTGGGTGAAATTCACGTTTTTGGAGCTGCACTCGTTTAGGGAAAACTGCAACTGCCGCTGAAGTGATTCAATGTCATTCGGGGTTTATAAATATATCCCGTATAATATGTGTATATTTATTTTTATGCGCCTAACAAAGCCCCATTTGTTTGATTTGTGCTCGGCACTTTTTGTCAGAAAACATTAAAACTGTCGCCTGACAATCAATTCTACGGCACTGTCTATGCAAAAGATCTTTTGATGATGATGATGGTCCTAAAAAAACATCGCCAGAGGCCATCACATATTTATTATATTTGAAATGCATTTTGGCAAGTGCCAAACTATTTGCCATTAAAAAATTGCCACGTTGACTTTGAATTATAGTTCGATGTCTAAATTTAAATTATTAAAAAAGAAAAGTCGAAAATGCATTTGCCGAAAGAAGAGCAAAAAGAAATGCTAAAAATTGAGGGGCCAGGAGGCAGGAAGGAGGCGCAAAAAAAACAACATGAAAGTCGACATGTAAACAAATAAAATTAGCTGTCAGGCGTGGAGGGGGGCGGGGTCTTGGGGGGATTGGGGATATACGCTGCAGTTCTGGGCAAAAACCGACAACGCGGGCAAAAAACAAGTTCACCCAAAGATCGGCCAAAAGCCAGACAGATTTTAAAATATTGTTTTAGAAATTTTGCCGTTTGCATTTTTAGCAAATGATTTACCACTCGGTGTAAATTTATGTGAGTGTATTAGTTAGCTTGTTTGTATTTCTAAGGTTAGACAGAAAAAGAAGCACTCGACTACAATCAAGAAGAAAAGGCAAAAGAACAAGAACTCGAAGTTGGGTACTTGGGGTAATAGGTGTAATAACTGAGGGGAGTACTGATTAAAAAGTAACTGTGGTTATCAATAAAAGGCACTGATGATTTGATAAATTGAATAATCGTTAACTTAACATTTAAACAAAATCAACCTCGTACCTAAAAAAACCTTTCAAAACAGTTAAAATTGTTTACTCTTTTTTGATTTAAACTTTTAAAAATGATGAGATTAAGAATCCTAATTTTGTAAATCTATTTAAAATTGTAGAACCTAAACCTTGACCAAAAAGTTTGTATTCCTGGATGCCTTAACAATTTGCCTTTTGCCCCCGCAAAAGCGATTTGAAATTCTTGTTTATTTATTTATCCGTGGAAAGCTTTACATATTTTCCACTTGCGTGTGTTTTTTAGGATTTATTGGAGGTCAAATACGATACTGTGCAATATTGGATGGTAAATCCTATTTACTTACCTTGGGGACGCTCCAAAGGAATTCTCCGGGAGAATTTGGAAACGGGAACCGCCTCTCTCTTTCTCTCTCTCTCGCTTGACCGCGGCACCGTTACCGTTAAACCAACACGCACAGTGCGTGCGAGGGGGAGAAGCGATGTGGGGGCTCCTTGCTCTTCGTTTTTGTCTATTTTTTGGTCCTCGCTTTTTAGCTTGCTTTTGTGCTTTTTTTTCGCGGAATTCGCGCATGTGCGGGAAATAGTCTTTGCCAAAAAATGCGGTTTTTTGGGGAAATACTTTTTTTAAAATTTTGTTTTTTAAGCACGAACACGGAGTTTGTAGTATTATGTTGGCAATATTTGTTTTGATAGCAGTTGGTACGTTTCGTCCTTTGGTTTTGTGTTATATTGTTTTGTCTGAGGATGCCCGCTGACGCTGGCGACTTTCGTTTTTGGGATTCGGAGCACAACTGACTAAACTCGTGCTCAACGGGCTCTTCTAATAGCTAAAAATCTGCTCCTCTTGGTGCACTCGCCAAAAAGACTCAAATTTAGTCCACTCAAATCTCAATTGCAAAGCAAAAACAAATGGCAGAAGTGCAACAACACAAAGGCGGGGGAGAGCCATTACACAGAGCCTATACACAGAGCCATTACACAGAGAGTAAAAGAAAGAGCGAAAATGAGATATACAAGAGAATTTCACTCAAAACGGATGCTAGCTGTAAATCTGAGTGACTTTCCCCAACCCCAAAAACTAAACCAGCATCCCCTTTAGAGCGCCCTCTCTTTTACTCACTCACTCGCTCTCTTTCTCTTTTATCCTTTTGCATTTTCTGGCGCTGCATTTTGGCCGATTGCAGCTGCCTTTTTGGCTCTTTGCCGTTTTTTGGCAACTCCGCTTCACTATCGATTATTGATTTCTGGCCCAGAGAGAGAGTGAGACAGAGCGAGGGGGAAAGGGGGGAGGCGCCTTCGCCAATTGTTTTTTGGGCAACTTTAAGCCCAGACACATTAACAACTTAGCCAACTGCAATTTGGCCGATGGAAAGTTTGGGCCATGGGAGATTCCTTGTTGCTTTAACACATTGTCGAGGTTGTGTGCGTGCTAACTTAATTTTGGGAAAGCTTGGCCACAATTAGGATTTGCCATTTCGGATTTTAACAAGGTAGTTTGATTTAAATGCGGACATAGGATATTCATGAAATAAAAAATTTTTAAACATAACAAGGATTAAGGTTAATAATAAATTGTTTACAATATATTTATTTTGTTTGTTATTTTTTAATTGAAAAGGAGTTACCTCCTTAATTAATTCTGGATCAACAAGAATGTTGGAAAAGCAGTTTAATGAACTTTAGAATTGGTAATTTGTAATAAAAAAAACAAAAAGATAATAATACATCATACTCAGCTATTGAGAATAAACAATTTCATTCATTAATAAAATTATTGCATTAGTCTAAAGTGAATTTTAAAGCTTAACTCAGAGTAGGATTTTCTGAATAAAGCATTTATAAATACAAATGCATAATTGGGACGCCATTTATATATGGTTTATTTGAAATTAAGGTGCCGGCGGTCATCCGATCCACATGCTTTTGTTACATATTCATTATAATAGAAATATTTGGACTAGGGCTGACAGAAAGGGGGTAATTGGGCGTTGCCCAGGTGGGGGAAATGCAAAAGCAATATTTACAAAACAAACGAAATTGCAGAAAGCAAACAAAACGCCGCCGAAATGCAAATTACACAAGTTGTTCGCAAATGCAGGGATATGCGAGGAGGAGGACGACAGGACGCGGGCAGGTAGGCCAAAGGACAGACCTGCCATTGACGTTGACATGGACATGGACATGGACATGGCCAACCGGATTACGAGCAACAACCGGACTTAGAGTCCGAAGAAAGGATTAAAGGACGCGAAACTACCTGATCGGCCCGCCCCGTTCATTAATCCGCGCATCCGAAGAAGTGCGACTCGAACTAGAGTGACGTGGATTTAAAAGCGATTTAAAAGTTGGCCCGCTGTGCATAATCCAACATTACGTAGTACCCAGGATCACGAGGGATCAGTGCCGTTGATCCGGAGGATCCAGTTAGTCCCGAGCGATTAGCGTTCGTTGATCAGCCCGATTAGCGCTGCTCAGGCGGGCGGGTGTGGATCCTTGCAGATCCTTTTGGAAAGTTATGTAAAGTTGAAGTTAAGGACATAACAAATAAACCCAAGGACCGTCACGCTTGACCTTTTAATTAAGAGTGATATATGAATACCTATCGTGATCTGTACAAACACAAACATGCTGATAATCATGATCGTCTAATTGCTGAAAGTACTTGCGACAGTATGCAAATGATCCCTTTGGCCTGCCGCCGCCTCAACAGATCCTTCGAGGGGAAGATCAACAGGGAGGATCTTTGCATCTTCATTTCCTGATCTTTGAACCTCCCATATATGCAAATGTATCTCTTAAGAGTGCAGCCAAGCATTTGGGATTTTGTGGTTGACCGAGTTGCTCCCTCACGAGAGTATCTCATTAGGATCCCTTTTTAGTGTTTTGATTTGGCGCACTCTTCCTCTGACCTTTGTCCTTCGGCCTGTTGAGATATCACCTTGAGTTCGTAAGCTGATTTCACGCTAAGGATGATTTGCCATTTTACTTCAGTTTTTTCCTCCTTGTGGGTTTTTTTTTTTTTGGCTGTTTGGTTTTTGTGGTTTTGTACGGAGACTTAGCTCTTTGATCTTAAGTGCAAATTGGTTTTGCTACACAATTACTTAAATTTGAGAGCTACTGTTTAGAAGAGAGTATTCGGAAAACATTCTCTTGTTTAAGATTTCTAGGCTTAAAAAAATGTATGATTTGATAATCTTATGAAATTTATAAACAAACAGTATATCATATTCATATTGGTATACCAGGTTAATTATGCTCCTCTTCAAATCATTTAAAATCATTTTTCCCAAAACTGCAAATCTTTTTATTCAGTATAGAAATATTGTATAGATTTTCAGTCTTTCGAAACTATTCAAGAAAAAACATTGTTTGCATCAATATATAAATATCATTTTTACTTTTCTGTTTTCGGTTTTTTTCCTTTTTAATTCCGACTTGTCATTTTTTGGCCATACAATTCGTGCTTCACATTTCAAAATTAAAGGACAATTCCTTTTTGGTTTTCCTTAGGTAGCCAAAAAAACACTTGCAAATCTCTGCTTCATTAGCTGCGAATTCTGCACACTTCACAGCGATGTCAAGACCGTTAGCCAGCCGCAAAAATTAGCATTTGGCATAAATCAGATGTGAAAAGTGCTCGCGACGTTCCGCCCACCGAAAAAGGGACGAAAGCGAGAGGAATGCGGGAAAATTCCGCCGAAATGTTATGGTAAACAGGATAGTTGAGGACGGGCGTTCGCCCAACATCCGTAAATCCTTTTTTAGCACGAAAAACCGAAGGATTAAAAAAGGAAACTAGAGCAGAGGCCTGGACTGGGCCGAATAGTTGCTCTAATTTTCATTGTCCGCCTTAATGGTTACGCCGTAAAATTGGCTATGCGGCGAAACAAAAGCGTGAAGGACAACGGCAGGACATGGAGGACAATCGTCTGGTGGATTTCCAGTCGACACGCCACGAGATTTTATGAAGGCGAATCGCTTTGCATGTTGTTCTAAGCATTTCGCTTCGGTCCCCGTTTGTTTTGGTCAGGTAAGACCTTCGATTAACAATGAAAATAGCTGGAAAATCGCGAGAATCTTCTAAAGATACACAGAGATATAATATTCGACAGTCTAATGGTCATTAGAGCGGACCGTTCTACTTACAATTGTACCAGGACTCTTGGTCGAAACTTAAAAAACGTCGCAAAAAACTCACTTCCGCGTAAAGTATCCTTTTTGGGGAGTCATAAAACATTTAGTTTTTTATGATCAATGTCGAGCAGGTAGACCGTTGCCGTTTTTTGTGCGCGTCTCTAACCCTTTCACCATTAAGAAAAAAATCGCATCCTGGGAGTGTCCTTGTGAGTTTCCATCGAACCGACCCACAATTTGTGTGCTCTGCGTTTTCTCTTCTTTTTGTTTCCAGCTAATGTCTGCGTCTTTGTGTTCTTTATGACGCCTCGGTTGTGTCTTTTTTATGGTGTCCTTTGTCCTTTGAGCCCAGTTGCACGGCCAAACCGTACTTCCTCAACCCTTTTGCGGACGGAGAAATTGGATCGGAGAGAACGGGTTAAATGAAAACGGCATCGCACTTTTTACGAGCCGCGATCTTCCCGGAATCTTTTTGGTCATTAGGCGAAAAGGGTTAAGATCGATTTTTGCTCTGGGTGAATTTATGGGCTTATTCAAATTTAAAGGTTTAAGCGGAGTGAAGGGTATAAACATTTTACAGCTTGAAACTGACTGAGAAACTTGTAAGAAAAATATTCGGATGCTTAAAACTGAAATATATGTTTATAAGCATGAGGTACAAAAAAAAAACCCAAAATGACATGTTGGCATTTTAGACTTTAAGATATATATTTTAAAGGAATATTAATAAAATATTCAAAAAATTAGACATATTTGCCAAAATCCAAAGTTTAAACAAAGATTATAACAGACCTTTTACTGCAATAAATTTGTAAAGATTTAATAGGGAAAAGAAAATCATTTTAATGTGCCGTCCATAAGTAACGGTCTGGAATAAAAATTCTTGAAAATCCCACAAATTATATTCGATCCTCATGGCTGAACATTTGGCGCGATTACATTCGTAATTCGCTGGAAATTAAGGCCACTAAGTCGCCAGTGAAATGCATTCGGACATTGGACAAATGTAAAAAGGATTTTTAAGCCCGGCCATTGTCCATTGTTGTCCGTTGTTGTCCGGAAGACCTAGAAACGAACCGAACCCAAATCCCGAGCTTAGGCAATCGGCATTGGGAAATAAGCGCCAAATATTTCCCACTCCTCCGCCGGTCCATAACTCACCCACCCCAGAGATCCTTGGACGCAGGACGATGTGCCGTCTAATCAGTCCACATTTTCACACTTTCGTGACCCCTGCGGCGCTACAGATGCGGATCGGGGGTTGGCCATAGCCCTTGGCCATTGGTCAGAATAAAACAAAAAGTAAAGTAAAAATAAAATAAAAATACAATTGGGAACGCGCGCCACCATTCTATATCCTGTGACCCCTTGTCAGCGTCAGGCAGAGGTTAAAATTAATGCGAATACTGTGGATGTGCGGGGAAATTGCATCAATTCGGGGTCACGGCTAAGACGACGATTCAAGGAGAGCTCTGAAATCCATAATATAGGGGTGGCTAGGGTCAAATTTATGGCCCGACATTGAAAACTGTAACAGTCGAACGAAGGATTTTTGCAGATCGCAAAAATTTGCGCCTCATTGTTTTGCATGTTTGAAAAATGGTTTGATTTAGTGAAGGAGGTGGGGTGGCTGGGTTAGAGCGATTTTAAT